CACCTGCTTCCAGTGACTCATGCCTGAAAAGTAAGTTTTCAGACTAATTAGCTCTAACTTCCCCAGCCTGGCGGGTACCGAAGCAATCCAGCACTGCCGTCACGGTACTAATATCTTAGATTTATGGGATGACCTTCTCCCCTTCCTTCAAAGTGGCTGTGAGAGACAGGGGTCAATTGAAAATGCTAAACAGACCGAAACGTGACACAGAGGGGTATAAAATGGAGGGGAGTGGAAAGCAAATACCGTTTGGGGTGGAGGAGGGAGCCCCAAATGGGACAGCCCTGGTGGGGGAGATGTGCCCCCCCCACATACACACACACTGAAGACAGAGTCTGGGGTTGTGCAGAGAAGGAGCTGGGGTCACTGAAGGGCTGAGACGTCTGCATGTTCTTCCACAGATTCTGATCTGTGCTGGTGGCCAAGATAGAGGCCCAGACTTGGGCACCTCTCCAGACCTCCCTTGAGGGACAGAGGAGCTCTAGACACTGACCCTCACACCCAGAGAGGGATTTGGGGTCTTTGGCCCTAATTAAGAAGTAGGAGGCCTTGGAACACCTAACCTGCTGCTTCTAGGACAAAAGTGACCAACTTGACGACTGTGGCTTTTCTACTTTTTCCTGGCAATGTGGAATGTAATGCAGAAAGCCCAGCTCCAAATCACACTGAATATAAGACCCCTTCTCATGGGAGCATTGGGGCAAATTCCTTGCCCCTGCCCTACTGAGCCTTTCCTTTTGACCCTGGGACAGGCATCTGACTCTGTACAGCTGGGATGATGGTGTGCGAACTCACTGCTCTATGGGAAACAACGAAGGCCTTTCCTAATTTGTTGTCTTTCTTAGGTCACGTGGTTCTCCCCCATCTCTAATTTAGCTCGGAGCTTCTCTAAGACTTGCAGCAGGGGTTTGGGAAGGCAATTTAATAATACAGATTCTCAGGCCCCACCTCTGAGCAGGTTCAGGACTTGTCCCCTTGAGCAGAGAATTTAAGGGGAGGCCAAAAAAGACTCAGTAATCAAGATAAATCAGATTTTAATGCAGTGTTTTGTAAAAATCAAAATTAGGGGCACCTGGCTGGCTCAGCCAGTAGAGCATGCGACTCTCGATCCCGGGTTTGTGGGTTCGAACCCCACGTTAGGTGCAGAGAATACTTGAAAAAAGAAAATCTTTAAAAAAAATCAAAATTAATACCCTAAATCCATGGTGAAAAAAATATCAGAATTTTAAGTAAAGGCAAGTGCCGTGGCACTTGACATGATTTGGCCCCAACTTGCCCCTCCCTGGTTCTGATCCTACCCTGACCACCCCCCACCACATATCCTGCAAGACAACTCCAACTGGCCAAGGGCAAGTCTCCCAAGAAGTGCAGGTGGGGGCTTTGAGCACCTGGCACTCACAGCTGCTGGGGCATGAGCACCCGTCCCCCTGAGGGGGTCAGGGAAGTCACCAAGACCACCTCCCCCGCAGTGGACCATGCGAACCGAAGACGATAATTTCTGACGTCGGTAAGCACAGCGTGACCTGGCAAGGAGTGACTGGGACCAGGGAGAACAGCCACTTAAGAGGGTCAAGGAAGGGGGGCGTTTGGCTGGCTCAGCGAGAGAGCACGCAACTCTTGATCTCGGGGTTGTGAGTTTGAGTCCCACACTGGGTGTAGAAATTATTTAAATTAAAAAAACTTAAAAAAAAAAAAAAGAGAGAGAGAGTGAGGGAGGGACTCCCTGAGGAGGTGGCATTTAAAAGGGGACCTGGAGGAAGCACCTGGGTGGCTCAGTCAGTTAAGAGTGCGACTCATGATTTCAGCTCAGGTCATGATCTCACGGTTCGTGGGTTGGAGCCCCACATTGGACTCCACGCTGACAGTGCAGAGCCTGCTTGGGATTCTCTCTCTCTCTGCCCTTTCCCTGCTCCCATGCATGCTCGCTCTGTCTCTCTCAAAGATAAATAAACAAACATTTTGAAAAATAAAAAGTAAGTAAAAGGGACCTGGAGGAGGGAGATGGACAGCAATCCAAGCAGAGGGCACAGCCAGTGCAAAGGCCAAGAGGCGGGGAAGATCGGGACATTCCACCAGCTGTCGAGGGAACACATGGGCATGGAAACACGTCCCTGCTGGGAACATCCTTCCTCCCAGGGAGAAAACTCAGATCTGCAAAGTAGACGCCCTGAACAAACATTTCCAGAGCACTTACTCTGAGGCAGGCGTGATCACGGCAGCTGGGCACAAAACAAACAAAACAACGGAACTGGACTCAGTCCCTGCCCCAGGGGTGCTGCTCATCTGATGGTGAAAGGACACACGAAGAAGATACATGGAAACATACGGAATGATGGGGGTGCAGGCCCGGGGGCTGCAGGAGCCTGGAGAAGGACAGCAGCCAAAGAAAGCATGGTTTTCACTCAGCGCTCCATTTGCTCAATGGCCTCATGCATGTTTCCTTCAGAAACAAACACGGTTCCTCCCAACACTCGTTCTCCTGCGTCTCCCGCTCTGTCAGACCTCTCCCCATCCTGGCCCGTCGGCTGAGAGTGAGAATCTGCGCTGGTCCCCCCCACTGCTACAGCCCCCATCCTCTCTCTCCCACCTGGACTGTTGCCAGAGACTCCTCTCTGGGCTCCCTGCCTCCCTGCCTCCTCTCCCCACCCCTTCTCTGCACAGCAGCAGAGAACCCAAGTCCCATCATGCTCACCCTCCGGGAGCACCCCGCCTCCTGCAACCCGGTGACATTCATCCCGTGCGCAGTAAAAGCCAGGGTCTCAGCCCTACCTCCCTGATCTGCTTTTCTGGTCTCTCCTTTCGGCTTGAACCTTGACCAAATACAGCCCGACCTCAGAGCCTTTGCACTTGCTGTTTCCTCCACCCGGGAGACACTTCCCTGGGATACATCCACTGGCTCCCTCACTTCATTCAGTTCTCTGCTCAAATGTCACTGAAACAGAGAGGCCTTATCTGACCTCTTCCCCCAGCCCTGCATAAAGACCTCACTCCCAGAATGCCCCCAGTGTATTAACCTTGTCTTCTTTTTTCTGTATTCTGATGCTTTGATCTAAGGCGTTGCAGACCTTAGAGGGATGGCCCCTCCCAGGATTAGCCAATGCCTAGAGATGAGCAACGATGCGCCCATAAATGGGCTTTTCAAATACCAGCCAGTCCCGAGCCCACACCCAACCACCTCCTTTTTCAGGCTCTCACATACTAGGACACCATCCTCCTGCCCTAATCACCCCAGGGCTAGGTACCAGACAACCAGGAACAGCCCCCGTCCCCCAGGACCTGCTGAAGTCATTCAACTAGACAATTCTAAGCCGGCTTGCCTGGCTCCGCCTCTTCCTTCCCTCAGAGATCACGATAAAGACTCCTGCCACAGACCCCCCACCACCTCTGCCTCTGACCAGCCCTGGTGCCTCCCCATGTGCCCTCCCCCCCTTTAGGTGTGCCCCCTCCTCTTAGGAACTGTGAGTATAACGAACTAGCTTATTTTTTTTTTTAAGTTTATTTATCTATTTTGAGAGGGAGCAAGCAGGGAAGGGGCAGAGAGAGGGAGAGAGAGAATCCCAAGCGGGCTCTGCACTGTCAGCATACAGCCCAATGCAGGGCTTGATCTCATGAACTGCGAGATCACGACCTGAGCTAAAATCAAGAGTGGGATGCTTGACTGAGCCCCCCAGGCACCCCACAAACTGGCTTTTCAATGGCAGTTTCTCCTAGTCTGTTGGACTCACCATACCTTAATGGTAATAAAATCCATTTTTTTAAAGCACCCAGCCCCCTTACCCTGCTTCATCCTCCTCTAAAACCCTTATTGTCACCTGACACATTATATATTTATTTGCTTATGGTCTTTTCCTCTCCACTAGATGTTCGGCTCCATGAGGACAGGGACCTTCACAGGAGCATCTCTGGCCTAGGACAGCAGCTGGCACATAGTAGGTGCTCAATAAACACTTGCTGAATCAACAAATCCACATGAATCCCTTACTTCTATACAGAGCCCTACAAAATACATACACGTATTGGGCCTATCTGCTCATATATACGGTGACATGAATCTCATTAAAATCTATTCCTCTGCAATGACACTACAATTACGGCAGGCAGAAAACCTGCCCCTCACCCAGGTCACCCGACGGTTTCTGCTTGGAAACAATGTCTCCCGTGTGAATTTAGTTCTCCACCAACATCTTTGTATTTTGAATTAAATGTATGAAAAGATACTGTGGGGCTTTGTTTGCAACCAAAAAAACAGCCTGAAAGATTTTTTTCCTCTTGTGGAACGAACGTGCTGCTTATGCAAAGGACCTGTAAAATCCAAATAAATGAATTTCTTGAAATAAATTTAAAGCCGTCATCTGGCCTTGCTTTAAGAAATGGTGCGGCGGGGTGGGGGATGTGGGGACAGGGCATAATAAAGGACCAGATCCTAGGTGCGGGTTCCTGGTTATTAGGTTTTATTATTATACATTCAGGGGCCCCCAAGAAAAAAAGTAATTAGAATCATTCTTTAAATGACAAGTGCATTTAATAGGTGGCCAGGACTGCTGCTAAATGGACAGAAACGGTTTCTCCATACAGTCAATTAAATAGGAACAGCCTCTTCACTTTGGGAGCTCAGAGGTCTTTTGCAATTGGCATAAAAATCTGGGGACAGTTGTGGGGAAAGCGGAGCGGGCAGAAAAGAGGCCGGCAGTACCTTTATTCTCTGGCCCTCGGCTATTCAATTGTATTCAATTGTATCCCATCAGGGGCTGCTGGGCTATATTTTGCTTTCAAAGGAGAATACACTGGGAGGCCCAAGAGAGTCTAACATATTTGCCTGCAGGGACTGGGGAAGGATCTAGAGGGTCAGTGACAGCCACTTGTGTCTGTGATCAGTGCTCAGTCTCGGGGGGCAGAGGCTGCTGGGTGCCTTCGTGAAGGCTGTTCCCCTGACTTCCCCACCAGGAGGTCGAGCGTTCAGCCAGTCCCAGGGTTCAGGCCAGCCAAGGTCATCCGATCACCGTTTTGCCGGAATGTCCCAGGGGCAGGCACGTGACCAGCCCTGGCAATGACATCCCAGGAGAAGCCGGCCTGAGGTTACTGCGGATGTATTCCCTCTGGGCGGAGAAAGCCCTTTTCTCCTCTTTCCTCCCTTCTGCCTTGGATGCAGTTGAGCGGGCACGTGGGTAGAAGACGCTGTGGGTGTCCAGCCCCAGCTTCTGTGCGTTGTCGTGCCTCATGGCAGCGCCCTCCCCAGGGACTCACAGCATCCAGAGGGGCACAGCCACTGACCCGCTGACCCGGGGCGTGCGCGTCCCGTGATGGTGCGCATGCGTCCCAGCTCCCCATGGGGTCCTGCTAAGACCCAGCTCCAGCTGAAACCACACCTGGCCCTCTTCCCCGCGCCGTCCTGCTTCCCTCCTCCCTTGCTGGTGTCTTTTGCGAGCACGCCTGTTAAATCACGCGCCCGTTAACCCCCATCTCAGCCCCCCAGCTTCTGCTTCTAGGGAGCCCGGGCTAAGGCAATGGGTGCCGCAGCTGGGTGGCCACACTCGTCACCAGGGGCTGGTCAGCTGGGAGGAAGGAAACCCAACCGGTGAAGGAGGCGGGGCTGAAAGACGCCAAGAGCCTGCAGGAGGCCGCGAGGATGTGACTAAGCTGCCGGACCCACCCGGGGATGTCTTCATGATTTAAGTTGCTGCCACTTGGGCGCCAACCACCCTGGTTTGCCCAGGCCCGGGGTGGTTGAATGTGGATGCCACATTCCATTCTGAACCCAGAAAAGCTCCCGGAAAACCTGGACAATTTGGTCATCCGACTGCTTGTCAGGCGTTCTCAGCTTGCAGCCAGAGCACATCCAGCTGGTGGGATTATGATCCCCATCTTACAGTGGGAGAAACTGAGGCACAAGAGGCAAAATGACGTGTATCATACAGCCAGTTCGTGGCAGAGCTTATTTAGCAATCCAGAACTTAGGGCCACTGTTCCGGAGCTCCTTCTAAGATACCCGTTTCACGTTGGAGGAGCTATACGACCTCAGCACAACACTGCCTGCCGGCTTTAGTGGGCACCTGGACTCCCTCTCTCCACTAGCTTCTGCCAACGGCCACTGGGACAGAAATTCTAGTGGCCCGTCCGACAGCCACACTCCCCTTCCTTCTTACTGATGTCGATAAAATTCCACCGAGTTGATCCAGATGTGCTGCCACTGAGAATGGAGGTTATATTTCCCAGCCTCCCTTGCAGCTGGATGCGACCAAATGGCCAATGGCCAATCCTAGTTGTGGCCAGTGAGATCTAGTCTTGTGGGGGACTTTGAGAAGGTTCCCTCAAAGGGAGGAGATGGTACTTCTGTTCTTCCTGTTCCTGGAACATACATGCGATTGCTGGATCTCAAACAGCCCTCTTGGACCAGGAGGTGACCATAAACATACAAGCTAAGTGCTGAGGGCAGTCGGACAGGAAGATGAGAATCTGGGTCCTTGAGGATACCTTAGAGCAGATATATTTCTGGAATCTATCCTCCAAACGGATGTTCAGATTCTTATGGGCCTGTCAGCAAAGATCTTCTCTCTTGCTCACTGAATATAAACCTGAGTGGTATAGAAATGGTATAAAGATTGGCCTAAGAATAGAGCCAATACACAGGAAAGAGATCCAAAGGACAGAGAGAGCGAAACTAGGTTCTAGGCAGTGTTAAATCTCTGGAACCAGAAATACCTGAAGCCATCCCTTCCACTGGACTTTTTATTCATATGATTCAATGAATTGGGTTTCTGTCACGTTCACTGAGTGGTGCATACCTGAGTCTGAACTGGGCGTCCAGGAAGGGTCCTGTGAACCTTAGCATCTATCAAGACAGCCTTAAGAATAAGAGTGTCTTAAAGCTGAACTGAGCACTCTAGCCAACCAGGCACACTTGCCTTCAGAAGAGTCAATCCGCCCAATTTTCTTAATTAAACCACCCCAGATAGGCACATGCTATTACGATGAGTGGGAAAACTTGGAGTAGCAGAAGGCGTTCCAAGTCCCAGAACAGAAAGAAGGATCCTGGGATTTGGAGCCAAGGAATCTCCAGTTCGATTCCCTGACACTGCCTTGCTGTGTATCTCCGGGTAGGTTACTAAACCTCTCATTGGTCCTCTGTAAAAAAAAAAAAAAAAAAAAAAAAAAAAAAGGAATAATAAGCCCCATCAACCTGGAGTGATGAGCCAATTGGGTGAAACAAACACTATAAAGCATCAAGAACAGAATCTGGCCCATAGTAAGTGTTCAATAAATAGTAGCTATGGCCATTAGTGTTAATTGCTCCCCGAGAACTCAACTAGCAACAATGAAAGAGGTCTGGTAAATTAATAGCATACACAAGATAACAAGGGTATGCCTTAGTCTGCTTTTTTATAACATTCCAAAGGACTTTCACACGTCTCTCATTTGCCTGCACGGCAGCGGCTGCTAATTACAAATGCACATTCGCACTTCGTTCCAACAGGTTTGGCAGGACCGCAATTGGGAGATCTTTTCATTAGCAGTTAGATAATCAATGTGGGGGAACTGTATTGTCCAATTACTCGGGGACCCAGATTTCCCCCCTGCCTTCCCCTGCAGCCAGTGTGCATTCCCTGTTGCAGTGCACGGCTCGGGCCACTCGAGAAGGTGGACAAATGGCTTCGTTCTGCTGGGAAGCAGCATGGGGTGCTATGAGGGGCTGTGTCCTGTTTCTACCAGTGCCTAACTAAGTAGCCTTGAGCTAGTTACCTAGCTTCTTTGAGCATTGTTTTCTTCATCTGGAAAACAGGGATAATAATGCCTTTCTCCAAGGCTGTGCGGGGACGGGGAAAGGATCACGTGAGATAACGCAATCAAGTGTTTGGCAAGGAGGAGGTATTTGGTCGTAGTTTTTTCCTAAAGCCACTTTGTAAAAATTGTAATGGATATTATATCAGGCAGGACTATTATGTTTCCAAATAGCAGAAAACCCAACTCAAACTGGCTTAAGTGAGGAGTGGAGAGAAAGGAGTGTGGAGAAAGGACATTCATACGTTCACGTATCTGAAAGTCCAAGGTCCTGCCCGCCTCAGGTGCTGTTGAAAGTCATGAGGAGTCACCATCTTACAGCCTCCACCTGTTGGGCTCCACTCTCTTGTTCCACCTGGCAGCTCAAGACTCTCCCTGCATAGTGACAACGGGGCTGCAGACGCCCCGCCTCTCATCTCCTCAAATTCAAGTCCAACAGGAAGGAGCAAGGCACCTTTTGGGTGGCTCCTGCCACAAGTTTTGCGATTCACTCTGACTGTGAGGTGGCTTAGACCATGTGCCCACCCCTGAGTCCAGCAGTGAGGCCACCAGGAGTCAGTGCTCTGATTGGCCTGGCCTGGGGACATGCTCCACCCCCTGGGCTGAAAGCGGACTAAGCAGGAAAACAGGTGAGCCAGCCGCATCCCTTTAGCGCCCTCTACTGATGGCGTTTAACGTTGCACTCACTACAAAGGAAGGATGTTTGCGGAGCCCTGTGCGTTATCACAGAACAGGTAGTATTGAAGGGTGAATTTGGAGCCGACAGGCAAAATACATTGGTAATCGGAACACATCCCCAGCCCTGGAGCTACAGAGGCATCTTCCCAGCAGGAGCTGTAGTCGTATAGAAACCCACAGCTGCAGGCCCGAGCAGGGAGGAAACAGGTAAAAAAAAAAAAAAAAAAAAAAAAAAAAAAAAAAAAAAAAAAAAAATGCCCATCTTTTGCCAGTGCCTCCCTTTGCAAACCCAACCAGAAGCCAGAAGGCAGGATGCCTGAGAGATGCAGTTTCTATTGGCCAGTCCCCCGGAGCAGAGAATGGGTGTGGGAAGCAAACAGGGAATGCCCAGCTCAGCAGGCCCCATCACTATCCCCACATTACAGGTAGAATAAGAAACTTGCCAAGGTCACACATGACCCAGCTCCGCCGTGCTGACCGCTCTGGAGCCATCCTATCTATGCAGCAGTGAGAGGGAGCAGGGCGGGGGGGGGGCTCGAACAGACTCCTTCCCCTCAAAACCGCATTCGTAGGAACTCAAGTGTCACTGTTGTCCCTTCCAGCATTTCAACAAACTTGCCTCTACTTGCTCGGAAGAAGGAGAGGGAAACAATTCTTTATTGCAATCTCTCTCCAGGGGGCGGCTCAGGGAGAGTTCTCATCTTCCCCGGGAATGTCTTCACTTGCACACTGACCTAGCCTACTGTGGGGTGAGAAGTAAGTGAGCTAAAAGGAGGAGAAAGGAGGAGAGGAAGATACCAAAGGCGACCCCATCGCACCCAATTAGAAAGACCAAACCAACCGTGCCTGTGACGGGCACGGTCTGTGGGTGCTGTGCGTGGATTTTAAACAAAAATATATTCAGCAGCTGATTTGCACTGCAAAGCTGGGGCCCGGACAAGCCAGTGGAAATACAAGTGTGCTTTTTGGATGATGAGAGCCTCGCTCTCTCCTCGTCATGGTCAAAAGTAGCTGGCTTGCAGGGATCCTGAGTGGCTCAGTCAGTTAAGCATCCGGCTCTTGATTTCAGCTCCAGTCGTGTTCTCATGGTTTGTGAGTTCGAGCCCCATGTCTGTGCTGACAGCAGGGAGTCTGTTTGGGATCTGCTCTCTCTCTCAAAAATAAATAAACATTTTTTTTAAAAAGTAGCTGGTTTGCAATGAACCTAAGTGTGCTCTCAGCCCTTGCTACTCAAACTCTGGTGCGTGGACCAGGGGCATGGGTGCCGCTGGTAGAAATGCAGGTTCTCTTGCCCTACCCCGGCAGTGGAATCTGTCTGCATCTCAACAAGAGTCTGGATGACTGATGTACACGGTGGAGTTTGAGAGACACTGGTCCAAACCCACACTGGTGGGACCGGGAGGAGGCAGAGGTGAAGGTGATGGGACACTTGGCTTCTGCCAGGGTGACCAGCTGTCCCGGTTTGCCTGGGGCTTTCCTGGTTTGGTGCTTAACATCCTGCACAAACCACAATAGCTGGTCACCTCCGTTGCTGCCCCAACCACCTTTACCAACTTCTGGGGCCCATGTGCTTAAAAAAAAAAAAAAAGTAAACACCTCGACCCTCAAGCTAAAGTCTAAGACCCATAGGGGCGCCTGGGTGGCTCAGTCGGTTCAGCGTGCGACTTCGGCTCAGGTCATGATCTCGCGGTCCATGGGTTCGAGCCCCGCGTCGGGCTTCATGCTGACAGCTCAGAGCCTGGAGCCCGCTTCCGATTCTGTGTCT